ATTAAATCAACTAAATTGAATTTCTCCCTTGTGGATGTCTAGTTCTGACAACTATGATCTTCCTTATCCTTTTGGAAAAAGCTTTCCTCATGAAGATGATATTCCATGTGACGATCGAGGTGAAAGATCAATCCCTTTTTCGTGCTTTAGTGGAACTTCTGTTCCTCCACCTCCTCCAGTTATTCTCCCTGACCCACGTGTTCGTCAACTTGAAAAGTTCAAGGTCACTCAAGCCCTATCGGCAAGCAAACACGAAGATGGAAAGTCTGTATGTGCTCACGTCTTGGAGATGAAGTTGCAAATTGACAGGCTGGGAATGTTAGGTGTCGTTTCCCCAAGGAAGCTGGCTGTTGACTTAGTTCTTCAGTCACTTCCCGAGTCGTATGGTCAGTTCGTTAAAGACTACTATATGACAGATCACGACGTGACCCTTATTGATCTTACATATTTGCTAATTGCTGCTGAATCAGCAATGACTTGGCGCACTGTTCAAGCAAATTTGATTGGAAGATCTACATCCCAAATTTCCATGGACCCTAACAATGGCAAAGGTGATAGTCCAGAAATGGTTTCTTCTCCTAAGGGAGAGAAATCGGCCATGGTCGAAAAGTTTGATCATAAGAGAAAGGCTGAGTCTGAAATAATCTCATGCACCATTCCGAAAGCGTCTGTTTGTTTTTATTGCCAAGAGAAGGGGCATTGGATGCGAAGCTGTCGTATCTACCTGAAGGATCGCAAGGATGGTAAAGTCAAGATGTATGACTCTACTTCAGGTAAGTCCACTATCTAACTATATTAAGTCCCTATTTATAGATTCTTAATACATGATGTGATAAGATTGCATTTTGATGTTTTGTAGGATCGAAGAAAAAGAAAGGAAGATTAAAGGAAGAGTGAGCTGAGTCTGGTCGCGAAGAGATGAATTTCGATCGCATGGTTCAATGATCAGATTTATGATAGATTGCTTAGGAGTTATGATAGATTGCTTAGGAATATTTAGTAACATAGTTTTCATATAAATTTGCATTGTAAGGACAAGTTTTCCGCATTTTTTATAAATAAAGAAATTTTTGATTTTGTTTTATTTTATATTATCCTTGCAATGACATTAGTAAAAATTGGTGTTTATATATCATTAGCAATGTTGGAAATGAATTTGATTCTTGTGGTAAAGTCATAATTTACCAAATAAGGAAGGATTCTCATCACCCAAGTTTCAATTGGAGAGAAACTTGGAATCATGCGACTTGTATTGTGTGATGAATGAGAACCTTCATCTTTGGGAAATTAAGACTAATTCCTTGTTCACATATGTATGTGAGTCAAGTGAAGGACTAATGGATCAAGTACGCATTGATGTGGAATTGTTTAGATCCACCGCAAAGGACAATAAGGCTATTTGTCATGATTCACTAATGGTTTAGTAAATATTGTTATAATTACAGATTAAGTGTAATTCTAATACCTTGAAAAGTTTCAAAGTAGAGCATAACGAATAAGAAGAATCAATTAGGCAGAAAGATGAAAGTTTCTACAATATGAAAGGAAAGGAGAGTACTTTAGTATCGTGTTTTATGATCATCCTAATGATTATGGAATCATATCACAATTGATACTCTATGGACACCTTAGTGCATTTGTATGACCAAGGAGAGGAATCGGGAATTGTTGAAATAGTTAAATAAAAAGGATGAGTCATACTTTGTTCCAAAGTCGAGTTTGAGAGTTATACTCTTAGTTACTTCATGAAATATGGAGTAGAAAAGTTTCTAACTCTTGCACATTTCAAATTGGTAGTTGTGATGTTTTGGATAAAACAAAGACCAACTAAGACCAATTGTATGAAATGTTTTTCTTGATAAAAATTCGCACTAACTCTTGAATGTTTGTTTGTCGAGAAATGTTCCTTGACAGAGAATCTTATATGTCAAGAGGTTAGTGTGAGTCTAAATGATCTTGAATAATTTCAAGAACTAGTCAAGAATAAACCTATTGTTTATCACTAGCACACGAATTGAGGTTTGTAACCTATCGTGTTGACATGTTCTTGTTTCTGTGCTCATCCCAATTAAGTTGACTATGCATGTGAGTTCTATGAATTCTCATTTGATTGCATTAGGCAAACCACCTTGATCAATGGAAAGTACATTGATCTGTATGGGTGAGCTGCTCAATAACTTGGAAGCAATGGTAGGCCTTTGTGCTGCGAGATGGCAAGAAATTGAGATTAAGCAAGTTTAGTCCATATGAGTTTGGTTTTGTCATAAACCTTGTCTTATGATAGTGGTTCGAAATGACAAGTTCACATGGATAGGAACATATACACCATAATTATTTATAGAAAACATATTTTTTAAATGTCTTTTTTATGTTATTATTAGCCGGTGGTGGAGCCAATATCAAAATAAAGGAGTATCCCCGACAAGTAAAGGGGTATCCTCGACAAATCTTGTATGACTTGTATCTCTAATCTCTTTTAGAATGGTTAATGACCTAGGAGGGTAATAGTGTTTCAAATTTATCCACATTAGGTCCTTAAGGTCTTTTTTGTACATATTACACTAACATGGTTGTTATAATTATTTAAATGACATCCCTTTAACATTTAAAGAGACGACATTTAAACGGTTGTACCAACCATGTTGGTATAATATGTACAAAAAAAATACCTTAAAGACCTAATATGGCAAATTTGAACCTTATTACCCTCCTAGGTCATTAACCCAAAAGTAATCATAAGTCGATATACATATCTTAAACACACATGTTACATTGTTGCACATTTTCTTTATTAATGGATTCGTATATTTCACCTTATTTTTCCCTCAAAACACCAAGCTAGCTCTTAATAACAAAGCTATAAATTTTACATAAGAGGGACGAGTTTTATTAATTACGAAAGGTGGAGGGGGCACCGGTGAACCTAGCCAATTCTAGGAGTTCGAAGAACGACGCCACTAGAGTTCACCCACACCCTCACACGGTTGCACCGGAACTCCCCAGTCGTCGGAGTTCCGTCCAGTATCACCATCGCGTCGACACGTGGATTCTCTCTTTCAATCGTCACCGCTGCAGCTCCTCCGTTCGCTCCCACCAGCTCCGGCCATGAACTCTTTCCTGTATCCGGTGTCCAATATCCAAACACAAACTTGTTTAGTTCGTCTTCACTTTTCACACCCATTCATTATATAAAAATTTGCTCGAATCATATGAAATCAAAATATAAATAAAATTAAAATAGATTCCATTTACCTTCGCAATCAGACATTGTTAGATGAGCAGTGAAGACAACGAATTCGAATGTGAGCTATAAATAGGGTTAAGGCTTCGGAGAAGTGCTGGAGTAAAAGCCGTACCTTGTGGAGTATAACTTGTACCCTTTTGTTTTTTCAACATTTCCCATTTGAGTATAGGCCAAATTCAAAATTGTCACTTTTGTTGAATTGTTGAAATTTGCAAACCATGGCAAAACGGCCATTTTTGCTGACTTTCAAAATTGGGAAATTCCGGTAATCCCTATCTGATTTGCAATGAATAATAATCATAATTTAACAATTATAGTAATAAATCTGAAGCAGTTTGTTTGAACATATATAAGATATGGGAAAAAAAACAACACTTCACTCAAGAAGACTTTAATTTCTCTATCAAAAAGAAAGAATTTGTGTACAAATGTCATAATTATAGTAATAAATCTCCACTTCTTTTGTGTTGATCCTCGATAAATTAAGCCTTTCCATCATGCGTCTGAAAACACCAATTAAGGGGTGTTATGTAATAATGTTATTGGTTAGAAGACTTAATTATGGTTTCCAAGATTGAGTGAGTAATAAAGAAAAAGAAAACTAATCATGATCATGATAGAAAAATAAATAGGGCTAAATGCATGAAGTGATGAAACGGTAAGGTATTATATATACAATTAAATGAGAGGAGCCTTACAAAGTAAGCTTTTGCCTTTTAGGATTTTGCCACATTAGTTTGGGGTTTGTGTGCTTTTGGTCCCTGATTTGAAGTTTGCCCACTTTTCGTCCCTCTTCAATATCCTAATCTTCAATTGATACCTGGGATACTTTTCTAGTTTTCATTAATTTCTATTACAACATTGTATTTTCAACTTTTTTCTTAAAGTTAAATGCAAGAAATATCATTGTACTTTCATGTCTTCCTATTACAGCATTGCACTTTGAGAAACTACCAAATTATAGCAACATCATCCCATTTCAAAGAAAGAAATAAATTGGAAGTACAATCTTATAATTGAGTTAGATTTCTCAAGTTACAATGCCTCAATAATGAAAAAAACGAAATTACAATTTTGTAGAAAGAAATGTAAGTACGATGCTGTAATAAACCCATCAGTTAAAGTATGTTGTCATTTATTCATTTAAGTGTCTGATCATGGTAAGCCTTACCGATCTACCATAACAAAAAAAAAGGCTATATGCAAGAAATAACAAAGAAATTTCATTTAACATTTGTATTATAGCATCATACATTCATTTCTTTCTATTATTTTGGTTTTTTAGATCGATTCTGTTTTTGCTCATCCTAAAATAAACGACTATAGTAACCGATAACTGAGAGTTAACAAATTAGTTACAGTTAGTTAAGTGACAGTTAAGAGGATGTTAGACAGTTAGAAAGCCATGTGCATTGTATGCGTTGGTACTTGTACTCTTTATACACATGAACATCTACATTCACCTAACCACAAATATTGATTTTCCATACATGCTTGTAAATTTATGTGAGTAGATTAGAGCTATGATACAATGATATTGCTGTAATGTAACTAAATCAAATGAGGAATATCAGATAATATGGAAGCAAATAATTTAAACACACTTGATTATTTATTTATGCATTATGTATACATTATACTTGTCTTTCACTCAAAAACAAACATCAAGGTAGCTAAAATAATAAAATTTTAAATAAAACTGGACTGGAGGAATGAGTTTTATTAATTACGACAAGTGGAGGGGAGAATAGCGAACTTAGCCAATTCGAGGAGATCGAATGACGACACCACCAGAATTTACCCACACCCACACACGGTCACACCGGAAATCCCTAGTCGTCGGAGTTCCGTCCAGTAATACAATTGCGTCGACAAGTGGATTCTCTCTTTCAATCGTCACCGATGCAGATCTTCCGGTCATCCCCACCAGCTCCGGCAATGAACTCTTTCCTGTATCCAGTATCCAATATCCGAACACAAACTTGTTTAGTTCATATTCACAACCATTCATTATGCAAGTACTTCTCGAATCATATGAAATCAAAATATAATTTAGAAATAGAATTCATTTACCTCTGCAACCTGACATTGTTGGATGAGCAATAAGAAGGTAGAGAATGCGTGGTATAAAGCATACCTATAAATAGAGGTGAATGCTTATGAGTAGAATTCGTACCTTGTGCAGTATGAGTTGTACCCTTTTGCTTTTTCAAACAGTTGCCAACTTGCTTAAAACCAAGACAAAACGGCCATTTTTCTTGACAATTTAAATCTGGACGTTCCCGTATCCTTATCTGATTTAGTTAGACCGACAGGTGTTTAGTTTGGTTGGCACCCACGTCATCCGGTGAACACCCCGTGCCATTTAATTTAGTTTGGTTGGCACTGACGTTATTCGTTGCGTGCCAATATAATTAGTTTAGTTTGGTTGGCACTGACGTTATCCGTTGCGTGCCAATATAATTATTTAATTAAAATAATAAAATTTTATAAATTGTGATTTAGTATTTATACATGCAAAAATCAATGTCATTAACAAAATAAAACATATAGTTAACCTATTAGTTTTATTAACTGGAATAAGTTTATATCATTAGTTCTTTCTATTATTGATTGATGATTTTATAGACCGATTTATGTTGTGTAAATTTTATATCAAACATATGTTGATTTCTATATATATCAAATAACAAAGTAATATGAAAAAATAAATACTATAACTTTTAATGATTTTATAGATTGTTTTAAGTCGTGCAATTATATATAAAACATATATTGATTTGTATATAAAACAAATAAGAAATAATATGGAAAAATACAACTTTTAACAACATAAAAATATTACAACATTTAGTATAACATTTACATCAAACAAAACTTATTAAACACTTATAAATTATTTAAAATGAATATTTAGAAATCAACATACATTTTATATAAATCATTTAAAATGAATATTTAGAAATCAACATACATTTGTTATAAAAAAAAATTATGTAGAAATAACTATTGATGCGATAAAACTCATTTTTTTCAATTTTTTTCATATTTGAATCACAAATATTTTCAAATATATTTTGATCAAAACTTATTTATATAGTACAAATATAACTATAGTGCATATAAATAAATGGAAAATAAAAAGACATGACTAATTACATTAAATTTGGAATCAAAACTACATTTAAAATAGAAAAATCTTGAGTTGTAATAGGATTTTCAAACACTTGAGTTGTATGCAATAATGTAATATAAATATTGACAATTATATGTTATAATAACAATATTATTGGAATTTATCATTAAAATAATGATTTTTACACTAAGTTGTAACTAATTTTATAATTATTTTAAGTATACGATAAATAAGATAGATATTATAAGTTGTGTTTAATTTTATAATTATTTTAAGTATACGATAAATAAGATAGATATTATAAGTTGTGTTTGAATTTAATTGAATAAAATTTTTAATTTAATAATAAGTATATGTAGTTTTAAATGATTTTGAAATAATTTATTTAAGTATATTTATTTCAATTATTATTATTATTATTATTATTATTATTATTATTTCAAATAACAATCATTTTTTAATATAATATAATCTATTTTGTAGTTTTATTTTATTTTAAACTATTATTATTTTTACTTAATTAAAAACTACTTGATTGAAAATATATTATTATTATATTTAAAAAAATTCATTGTACTTCAGTATTGTACTTTTATTTTTGTCCATAAAATTATGAAATATTAGAAAGGAATGAAGGGTCCAAGTAAAATAGTGATTTGAAATTTAAAGCTATAGTAATTGTCAAGTACTAAGATCAATTTAAAAATAAAAATAAAAATAAAATAAAAATAATAATAATAAATTTAAAAAAAACATGTTAAGAATGGGTTAGGGAGTGGGAAGTGTTACACGTAAAGTATATTTTTGTCACTTTTATTTTCTTATAAAAGTATTGATATTTTACTTATTTTTACTTTAACTTTACGGTAAAGAACGAATAGGAAAAAAGAAATTGACTAATATAATAAGATATAATAGAGTACTTATTTTTATTACTATAAAAACATTTAAAAAATGGATACATAAATACAAATTTTGCTTTTGATTTTCAACAATAAAGTCATATCATATTTAAAATCATTCGTTCTAATTTATCATTATCATCAACAATTTCGAATAATAATTGTAAAATCCTTTTAACGAAATCACTTATCAAAAGTTCTATCGATGTTATTTACAACAAAATAAGTTATAGAAACTAACATAGTATATAACTAATAACATAAAATACATGTTGAATAATGTTCTCTTGGATATAAAAATGGGTTGTCTTAACATAAAAGAGAAAAACGACATGAAGATACATACATGTTAACAAAGTTAATTGTTCTAACTGATAAATTGCTTAAAGATTGATTTACCAAAAGCTCATGAGAAGTAAATATCAGTCCCACTTCATCATCTTGTGATTATAAAAAGATCCATAACACATAAAATTAAAAAAAATGGTCTCAAGTATACCTTTACACACATACCCAAATTTGAAGCTTGGTTAATATATAAAACTTTACATGCACCAAATTTGCATTTACTTGCATTTACATTTGGAAAAGTTGCAATTGCTCTCTTACATCCATGGAACCACTCGCATAACTCTTCAAACTCTACCAATATAATCTATAATTTTGTGTTGACATACATGCAATATACAAGCTACAATGTTCTTATATAGGCTAAATATTTCATTTAACCCATCAATTAAATAGCATGATTTGAAGAG